CCGCTCTTCTTCCAAACAGCACAACATCAGCTTTTGTTAAAGTTCATTTTTGATGGCATCAGAGTTCAGTTTGATATGTGACAGCTTTCTAAACCGAGGGTCTTTAGCAAGTCCCAGAAGACAGGTGAAGAGGTCCAGGACTCAATTAGCCCCTTACCCTCTTTTCCATCCTCAGAACACGTTCCCTGGGCAACGCCAGATGCTCCAGATGTGGAACTAACCCTCCCCTGCTAAAAAAAGAAAACCTAAACATGGTGGCCAAGCCTCAAGATGAAGGACACAGAAGGGGGAAGCCAGGACCGAGCATTTGACACCAACAGAAGCTGTGAAAGCCCGTGGCTCCCCTGCTCCAAGGGAACACACTTTACTAAGGCCAAGTGTCTCCCAACACGGGGTTTAGACCACACTCACACACACAGGCTGCAGTCATTCCTTGTCATTCCTGCACCTGCAGGTGGCCTTGGGGTGGTTGTTGTTTAAGGCACCTGTACAACACAGCAATTTTGCACCTGATTCACCTAAAAAATAAAAAAGCATCTATCCTGGAGCACAAGTACACTCGGATCTCTTTCTCACACCCCAGTATAAACAAAGATACACATCTGGAGGCGGGCAGGAGTTAATCTTCAGATCCGCCCTGCGGCACAGGGAACTACCCCAACAGATCACTGCAGCCACCAAAACAAGAACAACTCTTATCCACGGCAGCGTTTTCACCCGGGGCAGGCTCACAATCCCAGCACAGAGCAGGTTTCTGACTTTTACACTCGACCACCGCAGGACACAAGTCACCATTCAACAGGACAAGCCATCTTCTAGAAACCCTTACCAAAAAAAAAAAAAAAAAGGCTCAGATCAGTCATGCGGTAACAAGGGCTTGTTTGTTGAGTGTCAGCGTCCAAAGGGAGGTGGTTCTGAACTCTTTTTAACCAAAACACACACCAGCTGACAACTGCTGAGGTGTCAAGACAAAGCTCCGATTGTAAAATTAAGACAATGAGCGTGCTCTCGGGGAGAGACCGCGGATGGAAGGACGAGGGCTGCTGCCGACCCTCCCACCCGGCACCGGCTGAGGGTGCCCACTGCAGACCTCCCACCAACCCACTTGCCGACCCTCCCACCCAGCACCGGCTGAGGGTGCCCACTGCAGACCTCCCACCAACCCACTTTTGGTTTTTGCATCATTTTTCAGACTTCTCAAGATAACAGCACTGTGCAGCTTTATTTAGTCACTCAGTTACAGCAGTATTTTAGCAGACGGGGACAGAGTCAGATTTTTTTTGAAGTGTCACAGATATTCAGTATGGAACAGTATATACTACATATTCCTTTCACAAACGTCTTACAGAGCTGGTACAGTACTAGCCACCGACCCAGTAGCGAGCGCACTGGAGTAGAAAAGGATGCAACAAGAAGATAGCTACACTGGAAGGACAACACTTTAGAAAAAGTGAAAACATGTACAGTCTCCCCCTCTAGCCCCCAAAAGCAAAGTGTACAGTTTGGATCTAATTTTACAGTTCTACATCAGTTTCTAGAAACTTAAAAAAAAAAAATCCAAACCAAAACCAAAAGGTAAAACCACTGGCCAGTACAGTCTTTGGATATTTAGAGGAGGGGGAGAGAGTCAGTTTCCAGAATGAAATCAGTTGGTTTCGGCCTCACCGGGGTCTTTGCCTTCTTTGTTCTTTCGAACCTCTTCAATATGCTTGTCCTGAAAGACAAGGACAGGGAAGCAATGAGCTGCCCGGGCAGGGCTCACAAACCCCGGCTCCTTCCCACCCTCCTTGCTCGCAGCGGGAGCCTGCGAATCCACGCTGCCGGAGGGGACACGGGATGAAGCTTTGTAGGAGAAAGCGAGACGCTGCTCCAATGTCATCCATCCCCTGTCCAAGAGAAGGATTCCTGCAAAGCCTTTTGCAGATTTAACCATCTTTTCTCCCAAGGATGTCCGTCTATTCATGGCAACCCCCTCACCAGGCCACTTACTTGGCTTTATCTGGCCGGTGTTCACAGCAAGGAACACTG